TATATTTTCCCTCGACTAACCAGTGGTTCTTCCTGATTCATACTGGGCGACCGAGAAACACGGGATAGTTAGAGATCGGATCGTCATTGCGCATCTTCATATCGCTCGTCCCCCATCTCTATAAAACCTCTTCACTGAACATTCGTGGCACCAACCCGTTGAATTTCCCACGGGATATCTTGTAGCCAACTTTCCTCTCTGCTTGATCTTTTGATCAACAACGAAAGACGTTAGATCGACATGATCTGATACCTAAGTCCCGTTTGTCAAAGTGATCACCCCTTCTCTTCTTTGACTATATTATTCGCTGGCCTAATTGCAAGTCCTGTCCCAGAATGCTACGGTCCTTCAAAAGGGCCGCCTTCATACTCTTACGGGAATTCGTCACTAACAGACTGGACTCCTGCCATATTGATACCGACCCAAACAACCTAAATGAGTTGCTCCAGAGTCTTAATCAGGAAGTAGACCACCTGTTTAGTTCTAGAGTTCCAACTGTATATGACCATAGGCCTCTCCTACCTCTCTCCATCCGACACCCAATGAAGGAACGGGCGCGCTTATTCGCTAGACCAAAGTGTACTGAGCTCGACACTGATGCTGTCGCGTACAAGCGCATCCGCAACCCATGCAAGGAAAGAACTAGGTAATTCTGCAATAGGCAACCGAAAGAAATTATTCTTCGTGTTAGAATCAACTTCAATTCCTTATTCAAGTCACCCCGCTGTAAAAAGCAATCAACCGTCTCCTCATTAGCCCTCAAGCTTCCCCACGGCTCTACTGTGCACTCCACTGCTGAGGTAGCCGCTCTCATTATGAATCCACCTTTAACCTCCTCCTTTCTCTTCCCAACCCACTCTTACTCCTCTTAATACATTTCCTCCATTAGAAGGTCTAATCATCTCTCCCGTGGAGATCGAAACACTCCGCAAATCACTAAGTCCCTACAGTTCAATGGGACTAGATAGCATACATCCTCGAGTGTTAAAAGAAACAGCTTCTGCCCTCGCTCCCTACTATACCATCATCTTCCGAAAGTGCCTAAATAATGAAAATTTCTCTACATATAAGAAGAACCGTATCACATTCACCTAATTTCTAAAAGGAGACCCATATCAGCTGGAGACCCACGAGTCAGCAAAGTCTTTGAACGGGTTGCAAAAAGAGCAATACTGAAACACTTATCTGACAATCAGCTTGTTTTCAAGGCCTAAAAGGGCGTCCTCCATGGTAGACGCTGAATTTCCAATATACTATCTGTCATGTGTAGTGAAATTATTTTTATTTCCCAACACCATTCCCTCAACACATGTAAAGACCCAATTTTGTTCTATTGCCCTCCTTTCCGAGAACTCATATGACCTCGAACCGGGCACAATTTCCGGTGAGTTGTATCGTGCGCTTTGCTCTCTGTACACCTTCCACTGCAGGTCACATTATACTACATACGCTTGAATCAAACTTCCTTCTCAATTCGCGCTTGCCTTGAGAAAACGTTCGAAAATCACGATTGCTTGGATTCGTAGATGTGTGTTTACTTCGGCCCTAATTTGTGTGCTAAAATTGGTGAGCCTGAGTTCAGTTACCGCTTTTCTTTTTGGCACGCCACGGTCTGTAAGTTTTCAGTGAGTCTGGTGTCCACGCACAACCATTCTTTTTTATAATTTTTGTTTTTGACATATACCGGTGTTATTTCTTTCATTTATTTTCAACGGTTTCACGGTATTTATCACCCTTTTCAGCTAAACCAATTTTTATGGAAATTCGTATAGGTCTACTTATCCCGGTTCTTTTGCATTTTGACACTGTTTGTAGACAATATTTTCATTTTCATCATTAGCTTATACCGCACCAGTACACTAAGATCTCCGTTTATTCGGGAATCATATTATTTCTTTATTTATTTACTTGAATTCTTATCACCCGTCATAATGTTTCAACAATACCCCGAGGGTAAAGAGAATAGTGCTATTGCCGCACCGGAAGAGACGAGCGTGTTTGGTCTACAAGCGCGTATACCGGAGTTTATTCCGGACGACCCAGAATTTTGGATGGCCCAGGTCGACGCCCAGTTTAAGCTCGCTAGGGTCACCAATCAATTAACCAAGTTAACTCAGTTAGTTGGTTACCTCCCTAGATGTATGGAGTCAGGGCTACGTGACATCGTCTGTAACCCACCCCCTAACCGACCCTACGACGCCCTTCGCAATGGGCTTCTGGGCAGATTTGGCATGCCCGTAGAATGCCGCCTTAAACAACTTCTAGGGGGCCTGCGTCTGGGAGACAAAGGCCTCTACACTCCCACAAAACTTTTAAGTTACATGCAGGGCCAGGCCGCAAACCTGAACGTCGACGAAAATATTCTCCTTTTTTTCCTGGCTACAAGCTCTACCAAAGAGCTTGTCGTCGATCCTGCAGTATTTCGGACAACGCTATACGTTAATGGAACACGCCGAAATGGCTGACAGGGTGTACGCCGACCAGTTGTCCGTCCAATCCCTCACCCAACCAGTGCACCCACCGCCCTCCACCAATAACGCTGAACTTGTAGCTTCCGTAAAAGCATTAGTCGTGCAGGTTCAGGCGTTAACGTTATCACGCGACCGACCCCGACCACGGCGTCGCACGCGCTCCAACCATGGGTGCGGCAGCCTCCGGCGCCCACGATCTCGATCACCGTCCAACGGGATTTGCTGGTATCACCGCCGATACGGTGACGCCCCAAAGAGGTGCCTCACACTGTGCACATACACACCCAGGGTGGAAAACTAGTCGGCCGACCGGCCCAGGCGACGACCGTGTCCGGCTTGCCACAACCAAGTCGCCTATTTTTCGTCAAGGAACCGCATTACCGGGATATGTTCCCTGGTCGACTCTGGCGCACAGGTCAGCGCCATTCGTCCTCGCCCCGCTGACCTCGACTGACTCTCTTCTGTGGAACTGGTCGTCGCGAACCGCACGCCCATCAAAACCTGCGGCGAGCGTTCACTCACACTGAACTTCGGTATTCGCCGTAGTTTACTCTGGGTATTCGTTATCGCCGACATTCCACAGTCAATCATCAGTATTGACTTTCTCCGACACTTCAATCTATTGGTTAACCCGGTGAACTACAAGCATATCGACCGTCCCACCACTTGTGAG